TGAACAAAGGCGCAAAAAACAAATAGAGCTCGAATTGAGCTCAAATCGAACACGAATCGCTGTCGACAAACTTGGAAATGTGGAGTTTTATTCCGAAAACTTTCCTTTGCCCAAAACCCAGTAACAATGGATTTTTTATGGATTTTTTGAAGACTTTTTGTAATACTAAGCAGAAACTTCGGGCTTTTTCGAAGACTTTTTGTAATACTAAGCAGAAACTTCGGGCTTTTTACATAAGATATCACTATCCCACACTGAGACCTAACACTAACCCTTACCCCTAACCCTCACCCTTACCCTAAAACTAACCCTAAAAGTTACCCTTACCCTCACCCTTACCCTAACCCCTAACCCTTACCGTAACCCTTACCCTAACCTCTGACCCTAACCATAACCCAAATCCTAACCCCTAACCCTTACCCTAACCCTAATCGTGCTCAAATCGAGCTCGGATTGCTGTCGACAAACCTGAAAATGTGGAGTTTTGTTCTGACACTACCAAGGAAACTCCTGCCGAACCCATAACTCAATAAAGTACGTCTCGAATCCCAACTAGGATTGTGATTTAAATTAGTTATCCCGAAACCTTTTTATGGAAGTTCTTCTAGCTTACATGTAGGCAGCTGAGTATAAATCTGTAATAACAGGAAAGTCAAATGTTGCCAAATTAAACAAAACACATGAAGACTTACCTCGATTTTTGCAGCATCCCAGATGCACCACACAGACGTCCGTCTTTTCGAAGGCTGCGTAGTCAACCTTCACTAGACTATCCCGAAACCACTTTGGTTTGTCTCCGATGAGAACCGGATCGACGATTCCCGCGTGGATTCGCTGAAAGACTTCATTTTCTGGATAGAGGCACCACTCAGCCAGGTACTCAACCGCCTGCAAAGAGAAAGCCAGAGTTGTGAGTCAGACGGCTGGCCTGTAGAACAGAAGAACGAGTAGCGCACAATTTACTAAAATCGGGCGCACGTGAAACTTCCACTTTCGAGCAACGAGGTAGCTTTTCAGTTGCCTGTCTCTATGTTTTTCGCAGAAATAAAGATTTTATAGGTACGTAAAAGGCTGATTTTCTGGTGCTGGTTTACAACTTTGATCCGCCTTTGTGAAAAGGCCGTATAGGGAGGCGTCTTCAGTGTATAGTTTTATATAATTGAATAGTTTATTCAAACGTCTCGGCTACCTCAGGATATGCTAGTATGTGTAAAGCTTGCAGACCCTCTATCATTCACAAGTGCTTGGGCTTTAACTGCATCCATTTGCAATGGCACAGCGTATCTGGTTTTAGTGCGGTAGACTCGATGGCAGAACACTGACTGAAAATGCTGATCAAAGCACCATCACTTGTCTCAGTCGCTCCCTCTAAGTTGACGGGCTGCAATATTCCGCGGATATTAATTATCTTAATTTGAGAATGGATGGG